CAAAATTCCTGCAGGCTGTGAAGACGAGTTCATGTCCCCTCCAAAGCCTATATAAACATTGGATAATTTTTTTTTTTTTTTAATGGAATAACGAAAAAACATTCTTAGATGATCAAGCAATTCAGAACATTTCTACTGCAGCAAAATACAGCCTAACCTTAATTGTAATCATAAAAAATAATGGCTGTTATACAAGAAAAAAATCCGTGTTTTGCAGCAAGTCAAAAGAAAAAAAGCAAAACAAAATGAAACATTTTTCTTCATCATAGACATTCATCTTCATTTGTAAAGACGTAGATTTCCAGCAGTTAGTAGCACCTGGCACAAACTAGGCCAGGTGGGATCATATTACTTCAAGCTATCCAACCAATGTCTATTTATATCAAGCATTTAATCTCAAAGTTATGCCACTCTCAGAGAAACAGTGAGACACGAATGGCCACAACTGCTATCTCATGCACTTGTAATACCTACATAACTCTTTTTAACTCAAAGTTTATGAGGTTAACAATTATGTAAGGTCCTTAGGCCATCTGAAATGTATGAGGTTCATTTGAGGTCTTTAGCTCTCGGAATTGTTCAAATAAACTGATATTACATGATCATTCATATTGTTTGTTTTTATCACAAAGTTTTAGTTTTTAAATTTTTTTACTTTATAGAGAGACTATGAAATCAGATTTGGCTGAACATGTATAGAGGAGGGGGTGGAACTACTAACTTCTATGGAATGAAGTTAAAATAATTAACAAAGGTCACTGGTTTAAATAAAATCATTAACCCTCTGAGCACTGTCCACTACCTTTTTGTAGATAAAAAATTACATCATGCCCTGCCATCGGTTGAACAGTGGTAAATACAAATGACTTAATGCCCAGACACCAGTTGAATGGTAGGTAAACACTTGTAACTGTTTTTATATCTACCATGAAACATTACATACCAATTATTTGCGAATTTTGACTCAGGAGGTCAATGTTCACTCTTATATAACACATATGTGCATCTTGTGTCATGTTGCACATTAACTCTGTTGAACATGTGCATCTATTCTAAAGTTTTAAATCTTGTGTCATGTTGCACATTAACTCTGTTGAACATGTGCATCTATTCTAAAGTTTTAAATCTTGTGTCATGTTGCACATTAACTCTGTTGAACATGTGCATCTATTCTAAAGTTTTAAATGAAGCAAAATCAACAGCAATGGACTACACTGTACTCAGTAACAAATGTCATTTGTGACCATGTATTAATGGCCAAAAGACAGTAATGAACATTTTAATGTTTCAGAGTTCTAATGCATAAACCAATCTTGTTTCGTGAAGAAATCATTATGAGTTCAATCCTTGAGTCAGGCAGGGCGAAATGCCTGAAATGTTTTGATTAAAAACAATCAAAATAAAGATACTAAACAAGCTCAATAAAAAGCAGGTTGAAAAAATGTTTTTTTCACCTGAAATCCAAAAATTCATTATTATTATTATTTCTAAATGAGGACATTATTGGTAGAATGTGTAATCACTGGCTCCATAAATCACTGATTAACAATTGATGTGCAGGTAGTGTAACAATTTTCTATGTGGAAACAGAAATTGGTAAGCCAAGATAAATTCTGCTTAATTCTGTTTCATTCACTTCATGCTAATGTCTTTTGAACAGGCATTTTCCTCCACTCTTTTAAATAGCAGAGTAAACTGGATTCTCTAGTCATGGGTGATAGTCTAGAAGGAAGTTTGGAGATGACTTCATGGAACACAGTTGTTTTTTCTCTCATGTGTGTGTATATATATATATATATATATATATATATATATATATATATATATAATTTTATATTACAGTACTTGGTGGAAAGTGCTCAATATCGGTGATAGAACTAACATATTCAGTTGTATAGATATGAGTTTGTGACCCCGGGTTTCACACTTTTGCAATCATCAGACAAACTGGTTTATTTTTAAAATTGGATTTATTTATGCTTGTTTGTGTTTGATTATGTTTGTTGGTGGGAGGGGGATTTTTCTTCTGTGTTTGTTTGGGATGACACCCTCACATAGACATATATACATACATGCAGGTGTATGCATTTTAGTTCATACAAACACACCCATATAAACAATCTGAGGTTAGGCGCAGATGCACCTCCATGCCTTTTGAGCATACATACATATGTCTAATAGGGCGGCTAGCCAATCCCTATTGCAGACGCTGGCTCAGGCACATTTGTGTTTGTTCAACACCCACAGGACACACCTGTGGTTTATACTGCAACTATGTTGAGTAGACCTTAGTTACAGTTTCTGGGAGAGTGTGTGTTATCTGGCATGATCAACAATTTGAACAAGGCCATCACACCTTAACCCTCGGTCACAATGATTTATGACTTTGTGCTAGCACAGCTATCTATGGCCTCCAAGTGTTCCATCTACCCAATTTCACTCAAAGGGGTTGGGTCAACCCATGGTATGGTTTTTCAGGCGCTTTTCAAAGGTGCTGCATGCTGGGATTGCACCCTCCAGATTGATGACATCAGGAAGTCTTCTTACTGGCAAATCAACCGTGGTGAGATTTGAACCCAGGTCTCATGATCTACCAGAGGAGGACCAACATTGAAAATAAATTTAAAACAATGCTCCAAGACAGACACTTAGGGGCTGATGACAGCTGTGTACAGAACTATCCTCTAGATTGAGGTAATTTTTGTTTGTTTTTTTTGCTGAAAAAAAGAAAATAATAATAAAATAAAAATTTATATATATACACACACACACACACACACTTCACAGCTATTGCACTGATCCTAGTCTGTTAAAGGTCTGGGAGAGTAAAACTCTGATCCAAGACAAGAAATGCCAATCCATAATTATCCCATCATTTGTTATGCATACTATGATAGTCATATATAACAAAATGTGTTTATTTTGGAAAATGTTACAGTGCTCAATGATACTGTCATCAGAGGGTTAATTTGGAGGTCCAAACATAAATTTTGTTATGACAAAAAAAAAAAAAACAAATAGAATTAAAGAGTGTTGAATAATTAAGAGATGAGAACAATTTTATCCCAGGAGATAAAGATTTCAATTCAAAAGAGCCCTGATAGTTACAACATTTCCACAAACCAATCACTAAGTCCACATGATCACAACCAAACACTATACAATGAAAATTTCAATGTCCACTTTTACATTTACATAAGCACTATCTCTAATATTGAGCACTTTAACCCATAAATATAGCCTACCTTAAAACTATATTTTATCATATATCTATGTACACTGGCCACTTACACATGAACAAGCGCTCTTTTATACAAATTTCTAATCAGCCAATGACATGGATAAATGTATTTAAACAGGGTCATGCCAACCTGCTGAATTTCATTTTATGCATTAGTATGCAAAAAAAGATTTGACTTTGCATATCATATGATTTTTCATGCCAGACAAGCATTTCCGCTGTTGACATAAAATCTCTTGTCAATGAAAGAGGTCAGAGGGGAATGAACAGACTTGTTCAGTCTGATAAAAAGACAACAGTATGTCAAATAACCACTCTTTACAATGGAGGTGTACAGAAACGCATCTCTGAATGCACATGTCAAACCTTGAAGCAGCTGAGCTCCAGTAGCAGAAGACCAAACCAAGATCCACTCCTGTCAAATAAGAACAAGGAACTGAGGCTATAATTTGCTAAAAAAAAAAAAAAAAAAAAAAAAAAGGACAATAGATTGGAAAAGTTTTAATCTGTTAAGTTTTAATTTCTGCGACAACATTCAAACCGTAGGTCTATTATTATAAGTTGGTTCAAGGACCACAGCAATGAGTATTGATTGCATATTAAAGTGGCCTTCACAGTCACCAAATTACAATTCTGTTGAGTAGTTTTGGAATATGGTGGAAAAGGAGATTTGAATCCTGGATGTTGAGCTGACCCATCCAGAAAAACCAGAATACAATAACAGCATGGACCCAGATATCAAAAGCGTGCTTCCAGAAGATTGTCAAATTTATGCCAAGAGCTGAGACAATCCTAAAGGCAAAAGGAGTCCATCCTGGAACTGGAAGAGTATACCTACTAAAGTGACCAGTGTGTTTATTTTATATAACTTGAGAAAAAAAAAAAAAATTCAAAGAGTAATTGCTGAGGATGAAAGTCATGTGTATGTCAAAATATATCTATTAGAACTTTGCACAAAAAATTACTATGAAGACATTTTTAAGAATTAAGTAGAAATTGGTAGCCATTAAGAAATAGTGTTTCCTTGAAACTTGTAAAAATGTTTTGTTTTAAAACAGATACAAAAATACAGGGACTTGCGAAAAGACTAGCATCTCAAGTTTCAAGAAAGTATTTTTCTTTTCTGCAAATTTTAATCAGTGTCTTATTACAAGTTGGATATGGTTTTTCAATTTGATACAATATTTGTGTCTTATCTGGTGTAATAAATTTTACAAAGATTTTTTTTCTCCACATGCAGGCTTTTATATCAATTAGAATAGCATTAATCATAAATGAAAAGCTTTGTATTTCTTCAAACTGGTTTCCTACCATAGACAGGTTTCTTTTTTTTTTCTTTATATATATATATATATATATATATTTGGCTTTTCCTCTTCATATAAAATTTTATATAATATAAAAACACAAGACATTTTAATTCAGATTGGAGTTACCTCCCCTTGATAGATTTTATTAACAAATACATGGCAATATCAAACATACAGAAAAAAATCAAAATATAAACATTAAATAAAATCTCCATTTGACTAATTACTCTTTGCTAAATAAAATTGAAAGAGAAAAAACGTAACAGGGAGCAAATCAATTGTAGGCAGCAGCTTTATAGAGAGTTCCCTGTCATTGTAGGAACATGATAACAATTAGGTTATGGCCATTTGATTGGTTGTTAATGTTTCGAGCAGTGATAGAGGCTCACTCAGTGAAGAATACAGCAGACAGAGTGTGCCATACAACCAACATTTTAGGCTAATGGATCCAGGGAGCACAGACAGTCTGATTGATGGCAACATACATACAAGACTAGAAGGTTTTAAGAGGTTAAAATAAAATCAAAAGGTTAGCATCACTTCATTCTGCAATATGATATACGTGATGTACTAACCTTACCACCTCTCACAAGTAAACACAAAACTGACAATGCTGTTACACAAAAGTAAAGAAATTCAAACGATGGATGAAGAATTCCTAGAAGTGTGATGACTATAAGGAATTGTAAACTTTACAAGTAAATCTGATGAAAAACGTAGACAAAAAGAAATCTTTGGAGCCTCTTTTTGAGACGGGGGGGTTGCATTAAAATAAAAATAAGCACAGGATAGCAAAATTGGTCATTAGTGAAAACAAGAAATAAAACTAAAAGGAAATCTGACAGCAGCAATAAAGCACCAGACAGAGAAACTTGGACATGGCCGTGAGACATGGGGGACATAAAACACTGTTCCCTTTTGACTCTGAAGCAACATGGCTGATGGTGAATTTTCATATTTTAAAAAAATTTTTTTTTCTTCAGGGCTGGCCAAGCTTCAAATCAGATTTAGAGATGGTCTCACAGAATGTGCCTAACATCAAAAGGACAACCCATGTCATCATTCCAAGCTAATAAAATACAGTTAAAAAAATTAAAAAAAGCCAGAAAAAAGTTTTCTGTTATGAAAACAAAATATAAAAATCTTTTTACAAAGAGACAAGAAAAAAATTGTCAGATTCAGGAAAATAACCAGTGTAGCTTGACTAAATAGACAAAAACAGTTCTCATTTTATTCAGGAAGAAAAGATTTTGAATGGGTCTAACTGCAAGAAAGAAAAATTGTCAGCACTCTGGTGCCATGAAGCACTGCTGCCATTTCAAAACAGTAGAAAAGTGAAAAAAATTATTTCTCTCTCAGAAGTCAGCTTGCAACTATCCAGAAATGGTCAAGTATTGATATTACAGCAACATTTAATCCAATATGGCTGTGTACTACCAAATGGAATTTGGCATATCCACTTTGAGGAGCAGAGAAAGACGTTTCAAAACAATTTAATGACCAAATAGAAAAACTAAATTAGTTGATTGATAACAAATATTGACCCAGAGTAGATGTGAGCCCATCGGTTGTAGAGAAAGGAAAAAGAGACATATACAGAAAATTGAATGATAGTAGTTTGGAAAATATGGCTTTAGAAGAAAATATTTTAGCAGTTTAAAAAATGATAAAGTCTCAATTTTTATTCAATTTTTGTGTTTGAGAGAAAGAAAGAAACTGCAGACATCAAAAAATGGAAATTCTATGGAGAAATTTCCATCAGTCAAAGTTATTTTCTTCTACAGAGAAGGCAAAGTGAGAGAGAGTACAAAAAGATTGTATACATTTCTTGCAAAGATATGGTTTTGTTGACTTGGTTCAGGCAAGCAACCTGGGCCCAACCAACCTTTCTTGTTGAGATCACTTCACTCCCCCCCTGCAAACAGGTCCTGTGAAAACAGCACCCGAGAATGTTGTTGCCACTATTGTTGTCTTTGCTGCAGCCTTTTATGCACTTTAGGAGGTTGTGACTTTAGCAATCCTGATTCTTGTGGGGGACCTGAGGAAACTCCAACTTTGGGCAGGAGGTGTAACTTTATTAATCTTTTAGCTCATACCCCCCACCCCATTATTTTCTTCTCAGAAAAATAAGAAATAAATTCCCCCCCACCCTGCAAAAAAAGTAAAAGAGAAAAAAAAACTTTTTTCATGCCTGTTGGATGCGTGTATAAGTTCTTAGATTAGAAACACACATAATAAAGACACACAAAAAAAAGGAAAGTTTTTCTCCCCCCCCGACCCGTGCCACCTCTTGTTCTCCATTTATTTTTTTTATTTTTTTAAATTGGATTTTTTGTTTTCCCTTCGTTCACACCTGGCAGATTTTTTTTTTTATTTTATTTTTATCAGTCAATATTTTTTAATTTTTTTTTTTTTACATTTTTTTTTTCCTTTTTTACTTCCAAGAGTTTTTGTTCTCTTTTGAGAATTTTTAAAAATATTTTATTTGTTGACCTGTTTGAGCAGCCAAATTGTTACACCAGCAGGAATCACATTTTTGTTATTCTTTCAGGTTTTGTTTTGTTTTCCACTTGTCTTCAGTGCTGCTGCTTCTGCCGCTGCCATCTTAATCGTTCTTTTTATCGGCCTTGCTCTTTCCGTTGGCATCTTCAGGAGCCTCTTTGGAAATGGCACGACGCAGGGCATCCCACATGCCACCAAGGAAGATGGCACAGAAGAGGTTCTCAAATGGGATGAAAGGATCGTGAATGCCCAGAAGAAGTGACGACAGTTTGAAGTAGACAAAGAAAATGACTACCCCAAAGTAGATAAAAGCGTGGGGGGCAACGATCACTGCAGTCCTCTCAAGGACAAAAATAATTGAAGCAATCAGACAAGCTTTTGTGTAACTGTTGAAAAGAAGAAAAAAAAACAAAGAATAAAAGAAAATTCATGTCAAATATTTTAGCAATGTAAGGCTAACTATAATATACATGGGATATAAAAGTATAGGTAAATCTAGAAGTTGTACCTTAGGCAATACACACACAATCTAAGAGCTTCCTTCGTGGCTAAAGTAGTTGTATATTCCCCACTGTCATTAAAAAAAAGTTTGAGCCAGAGTAAATGTCAGGGATTACAATTTTTTTTCCCCCTCCCAAAGGTGAACTTATTTTGAAGTTTGGTACTATACAGTCATATAATGTCAGCCATGTGTCACTTATCCAGATTAATCTATATACAAAGGAGTGTGAGAGAGAGTGTTTGAGTGAGGGAGTGTGTGTGAGAGAGAGAGTGTTTGAGTGTGTGAGAGAGAGAGTGTTTGAGTGTGTGAGAGAGAGAGTGTTTGAGTGTGTGAGAGAGAGAGTGTTTGAGTATGTGAGAGAGAGAGTGTTTAAGTGAGGGAGTGTGAGAGAGAGAGTGTTTGAGTGTGAGAGAGAGTGTAAGTGAGGGAGTGTGAGAGAGAGAGTGTTTGAGTGTGAGAGTGAGAGAGAGTGAGGGAGTGTGAGAGAGAGTGTAAGTGAGGGAGTGTGAGAGAGAGTGTAAGTGAGAGAGTGTAAGTGAGGGAGTGTAAGTGAGAGAGTGTAAGTGAGGGAGTGTAAGTGAGAGAGTGTAAGTGAGGGAGTGTGAGAGAGAGCAGGTAGAATGTTTGCTTTCCAACCATGAGACACAGGTTCAGATCTCAACATGGTTGATTTGTTCATCAGAATGATTTGTTGATGTTAGCGACCAGGGTAGGCAATCACAGCACACAACACCTTTAGAAAGGTGTGAAAACCATAGCACAGGTTGACCTAAGCTTAGTGAGTGAAACTGGGTAGATGGAGCAAGTTGGAAGACAGAGTATGAAGAACCAAGCCATCATGACCGAGGGTTTCAGTGTACTGGCCTTGTTCAAGAAATTGATCACACCACATAATGTGTTCTCTCTTCCAGAAACTAACTAAAAGTTCACTCAGAATATTTTTTTTTTGCTTTTTTTTTAAAGCAATTTACCCCAAGCAAGGTGGGAGTGCCACTAGCTTGCAAAGGGTTACAGAGGATTGAGAACAAGAGTAAAGAGGCATGTTTGAGGAAAGGAGATACAGAGAAGGGTGAGGAACAAATATAAACAACAGGTGTGTTCTGAAGATTGATTAAGACTCTGTAACAGGGTTTGGCTGCCAGGTACAGGTATGCTCGGAAACAAATAGTAGCCAGCCATTATATGAGATAGCAATATATATTTTTGTATATCAGGAAAAATATTGGGGGGAAAATGTCAGTCAGTTCTGTGCCATGCATGATACACACTTAGGCGATCATGTCCGACGAAGGAGATTTTTTCCCCCGCAGTAGGTGAAAATGTATGACAAAATGAAAAAAAAAAAAAAAAAGTTTATTTTAAAATTACCAGCATCCCTCATTCACACACATGTGTATTTGCACCAATGTAACAAATTTAGTTCAGTGAAGTCCTAAAGGATAAAACGCATCACATTAAAACTTTTTTCCACTTTGTTATATATTTTCCCCCAATATATTTGTTATACAAACAATACAAATTCTGGAATTGAAATGTGATAGAATAATGAAAATTTCAGTTGAATCATTTTTTTTCATGTCAGAAAAACATCACAGGTCAACTAAAATTTAAATCTTTACTTTAGCATTTGTTACAAATCTTTCCAGAAAATGTATAACTTTCCAACTGAACACAAAGGTTTTTCTATGTGTCATGTCCTTGCAGGACATGGGCGATCATGGCTCTCCACAACTTCTTATCTTTCATATGTCTTAGCAAGGTTTCTTTTATCACTATCCCTCCCAGTCCCTGTTCTGCCATCCATTTACACAAGCTTGTTATGTAGGTTACTTGCTACTTTCCTGTTGCATTAAAAATTTGAATTGGGTCAAAACAGCCAACTCAGAATTCTGCCATCAATATTTTTATCCAATAAAAATGGCCATAAAAATATTTTTCAACCAGTCAGTTTTAATTAACAAATAGTTCTCAGTAAAATTTAGCATTTGAGCCATCAAATCATTAACCCAAACCATATTCAATAATAAATAGTCTGTTAGTTTTCTTAGTTATTATATAAGTGTAATGTACTTTGTTAACGATTAACAAATGTACTTTGTTAACGATTTTTTTAAAATTTATTTTTGTTACGTTTTGGACCATATTCCTGGTTTCTGATAAATACACATACATGTATGTGTGTAAATACTTTCACTCTAAATAGTTCATCTACATTGGTCATGCAGAATCAAATTAGCTCTTTTTTTTTTTTTTTTTGACTTCATGAATTTAAGTGTTTGACTAAGCTGGCATCTCACTCTCACCCTTTCACTGTCAAAACTGTTAAATGTAGCCGTCTCTTCAACTCCAATAGCTTCATGTCTTGCACTTCTTGCCTGTGGAACTACCTCCCCTTTTCTGGTTTCCCTGATAGCTATAATCTACAACTATTCAAATGTAATGTCAATCGACGTCTCCAGATGCCTTGATCTATCCTTCTCTTCAACCTTTCCTCTATCAATCTTATTTGCTCTCGCTCCAACTCTCTGTAACCCCTTGCATGCTAGTGGCTTCCCACCTTGCTTGGGGTGAAATGCAAAAAAAAAAAATATCAAAAAAATCTTCACATACATGCTCCTCCCATCTGTTCACAGTATAAAAAATTTGGAATTGCCACAAAAATGGCTGACCAAAGACTACCTTGATAAAGTGTGACCAGGAACTGTGAAAAGAAAGAATATTCATATCTCAGGTCACAACCTGGGGACATCTAGAACAAAAATATTTTTTATATCCAAGAAATCATTGTCAAATTACAAATTAATGTAATTATCAATATTTTCTTTTTAAAAAGGAAATGGTAATTTGAAAAAAACTAAGTAGATTACATTCCACAGGTTTTTTTTAACTATCACACACACACACACACACACACACACACACACACACACACACACACATGAGGAGGCACGGTGGAGTGATGGATAGCGGCTTGGATTGAGGAATCGGAGAGCTGAGTTCGAATACTAGTCGAATCCATTACATTCACTTACGTGCTAACACCCTTGGGAAAGGTATGAATCCTCCTTCTCCCTCCAGCTGTGGGTAAATAGCAGGACAGACTGGGTTCTATAGCCTTGGATGGCAACTGGTCTAGGAGAAGGACAACTCTGAATTCAAAACCTGCGGAGGGTCGTTTGGGGACCCTGTGGCACATAGTGCACCAAGTGTCTGTATTAGGCTCCTCAAAAAGTGTGGATGGTTCTGCACAAAACCTTCACCAATATAATCAAATCTCATGTGCTGGTGTCGGGCTGTTAGTTTCCTAGGAACTGATCTGCTTAACCCTCATACATCGAATTTGACGGGAGAGTCGAGTGTGTGTGTGTGTGTGTGTGTGTGAGAGAGGTTAAAAAAGAAAATAAACATCAAAATACAAATGAAATTGTTACTTACAAAGAAGGTTGTAAGAATTCATTGCTGCCTGGAATCCAAACACCTCGTATAAGTCTGTCAATTGTTTTCATGATTCCACTTCCGGCACCTAAAATGAAATAATGTCCGAGAATTAAAGACTAGGAAAATGCTTAAAATATCCAGGAAAAAAAAATCCTTCAAAGAATTGACATAAGAAATGCATCACACAGACACCCACTGTGGTGTGGGTCGTTGGAGTGCAGACATTTTTGAAGTGGGTAAGCTTCTTGATTACATCAAAAACTTTTCTGTACCCTCCCACACTGATAAGTTAAAATATTACAACCCTCAACATGTGACAAGAATGACAGCTACTGCCTCATAACAACTGCATATGTCAGAGGTATGTCAACAAGCAAACTGGCCTACTGTACTTCCTTTTTATTTGTAGAATTGTGCAATGATGTGTAATTTTATCAGCGTGATTCAAATCTTTCAAGTAATTTGATAATGGACAAATTGTTTATGGCCAAAAGACTACACACTGCCCAGATCAGGGATTGAACTCACAATTACTATGTCACCAAATTCACAAACCAATGCTTTAATTCACCAGGCTATTGTCCTGTGCGACAATTCTCTGGGAAGAACTTGGAGCTTTAAACCTAACCTGCCTGCTGATGAATGCTGCTGCTGCTTGTCTGCAAATCACTGAAACTTTTCTCTTTTGTTACCACTGCTGCTTTCTTGAAGACTTGCTGTCATTTGTTTTTCTTTTTTTATTAATGGCTCCCATATCATATTTATTTCTATGCTAGGCTTACTAAGAAGGTCGTCATAGCCTAGCATATGTGTGCTGATTCTTTCAGACGTCTGACTCTTGGTGGAAACAGGGCAAACAATAACTAATGCGTACTAATAATAATAACTAGACAAGATATCCCTAGACACAGGCAGTGGTACAAGAACAGTCTACCCTCCATTAAAGGGTTCAGTTCAGAATTCCCTGTAGGTTAACCAGATTGACATATACCTGAAAAATGCTAGAAGGAAACAGCTGAAATGTTGTGATAACAACAAAGATGAGGATAATAGCAAGAAGGTAAATTGTTTCAGACAGAAAATAATGCATCAGAATACAGTTCATCAATCTTTGTTTTATATGGGGCAGAGTAGCTGTTGACCAATCGGAGAACCCAGGCTAAAGAGGCTTGTATTGATGGAAAATGGTAATCTGGCTCAATATATTGCTTTCTCCTAAAGAAACCCAATGGCAAAGTGTGTGTGTACTTATTTACCCTGAAAAAGTAATTACTTCAGGATACAGCCATTCCTATGGAAAAAATATTATCACTTAGTATGACATGATGGAAGATAAGTCATATTACTTCATGGCAACAATCTTCGGCAGTAACAGTTTCATCAAGACAATATGACCCACCACATGACCAAGCCATATGAAAATATCTGTCTATATTTCTAAGATGAGGTATTATGTACATTATTTACATTATTTGGACTATTGTCCTCATCTTTGTTGCCATATTTATTACAACATTTTGGCCGTTGTACGCTCCAGCCTTCTTCGGATGGTTGGACTGTCGAACTGAACCCTTTATTTTGCTCACTGGGGTAGACTGTTCTAGTTCCACATGCCATGTTTAATGTATATCAGTTATCTCCTGTTCCTTGAGGACACATGACACAGTGGATAAATGCGTTGGTTAAATCCAGTGACAAGACCCAAAGAGTGTGAGTTCAATACCCAGTTAAGGAAGTGGAGAACTTTCAGAGGGAAATTAACAGGAGATAACTGATAACTGACATCCATTAGACATGGCACTTTCTATTAATGTTAACTCAAAGTACAAAGTTTGAAGTGCCTGCATGTAAAATATTTCAAATAAAGATTTAAATTTAATATTTTTTTTTGATATTTTCAAAATCGGGTATGATATACCCATGGTTAGTGTTCTAGGGTTAAGAAATCTTGATGAGTCCATGCCTAATCAGGTAAGAGCTGGTACATGCAATACTAATAACACCTTATTAGGCTGGTGATCATTATATTTTGATATATTACTAAGACGTTGCTTGTACAATTCAAGATACCACTAGTTCACTCTGCCGTTCTTGCTTTCCAAACACTTCAAAACGTCAAATTCATCTCTCCTTCTCACTGTTTTAACCCTCTTTTATCAGGCCAACAAATCAGCGTTCTTCACATTTATTCTCAGTTACCCAGGTAAATAGCCTCTTCCAATTTAACCAATCAGCGCACGACTTGCTATTGGTGGAAGCATGCCAAACTGTACAAAAACCCTTGTTAGTGCACATACTGCCGGAATTGCTAGACAGGAGAGTAATGCCATTTCCAAGGAGCAAACTTGCCGATGCCACATGCCGCATGCTGAGATAAGACCCTTATTTTCCTATGCATTAGATGCAAGCCACTCTGGCTTGCTTGCTTCTATGGAATTGTTCACCAGAGATACATCAGTGTTCACATACATGTACACCCACATAGTATTTTTCCCCACATGAAAGGGTTACGGTTAAATGTGACAGAATCAATAAAAGCAACAACAGCTTGAAAGATTAGAGCGGACAATTTTCTCCTTTAGGCAGAAGAATAAAGACTCAAACTCACTGCCAAAGAGGTGTATATTCTCCGTATTTATCGAGATTAGAAGGCTCAGAAATATCGGGAACTGTTCCAATAAAATTGCTATACTCTTTCCGGGCCCTCTCATTCGTCCAAAATTTTTTCTTATCTCTGATAAGAATTAAAGTTTTCGAAGCTGCTTTTTGGAAGCAAGGATCCGACAAGTGGTGAGTGTTACCCCTGACTTTATGGCACCATGCTTAGGGCAAGGATGGTCAGATTCCTTTTGATATTTTCCAGCTCTCTTGTTCGTCAGAAATATTCTTATCACTGATAAGCATCAAGGCTTTGGGAGCCGGATTTGAAAGCAGGGAAAAAAGTTGGGGCAAGGATCAGAAAAGAGGCTAAAACCTGAACTTGTAAAACATTGTAGTAGTGGTTCTCAAATTAAATTCTAATAAAGTTGTTCTGCCCAACAGTATCTGTTGTAGCTTCTGGGAAATATATAGACGGCATTACTTTTAGAGCATCTCTCATACTAAAGCCACAAAGCCATTTTATGCACTGTTCAAGGGTTCCATTTGAATTTTGAGAGAAAAAAAATCCCTAAAGCTAAGCTGTGCATTCAAATAAAGTTTGAGAAATAAAACTCTTTGCATTTATTTACTTGAAAGTGCAAAAGTTACTTGATATACATTTCTCTTCTCTGTAATTATGTTTTTTTATACTAATTGTCCACCCAATACAAAGCCCATGAGTCACTCAAGGTAGAGGACTACTGATTGAGGTTGTTGCATGTAAGAAGAGACAGCAACAAGTGTAGTTTAAGAGGATATGTAGAAAAGAGAATAGTTAACCCTAAACCTAAAGAAGCCAAGATTGTAATAATCCAGGAAGCATCCCCTCGGGAGTCTGCTCCACAAAGCAGTGGTTCCCAAGAAGATGCTGTCCAACTGGAACTGCCCTACCACCAACAGAAAGGAAATAAAGACAACCCAATCTAGTGCATATGGCATGGTGGGTCCTAGGTGTGAATGTCAGGGCCAGTAAGATACCAGATATTGGAATATGTAAAATAGTGTATGTGCATCAACAACCTGGATTAAATAGTCTGGAAGTACAGCCGTAACGTTACATTTCATTGAGAGGCCCCACTGGAGGTTACTGCACAGTTCAGATACCATCCACAAGAATAGAAGTATAATAGCCCCGATATTCTACATCTGCTGATAGGATAGCTTCATCAGGAGTTAGGTTCAGATCCCTGTGATTATCAAGCAGACAACACTGCATGTGTGTTCATCTACCCAGAAGTCAAGGCAATAGAACTTTTTTGGGGGCTGAGAATCATTGTGACTAAGCTGGGAGCCTAGGTCAGAAGACAAACTTGCACACATGTGAGGACTAAAAGATCTACTGGAGAAGAGGGAGTAGTTACAAAGGTTGATAGAAGATGCACTAGCATTCCTAACCCCTATTAACATCCCTACCGTCATTAAACAATCTAATTATTATAGATAATATAGTATTTATTAAAAAAATTATAACATAAATATGTTATAACATCACTATAAAAATAGTGATTTTGTTTCAACACTTTTGGTGTCTTGTCAAGTGATGGTGTTGAAACTCTTCATTTTGCAATCAACACCATCACTTGATAAGGTACCAGATGTGTTGAAACAAAATGGCTATTTTTGTAGTGATTTTATAACATTTATGTTATAATTTTTGAATAAATACTATTTGCTCTACTCTGTATTGAGCACTCTTAAGAATAGTGTTTTTGGTTATTAGAATTTTATTCTGTCTACTTGGATAATATAATATATAATTATAATACAAGTAGTCTAATTAATAGATAATTATGGCTGCCTGATCTTCCTCTAAATGACTAAATAAGAACACATGAAGACCCCATAACTAGTAGGGGGGAGAGAAAAGGAAGTATAATTATTAAATGATCTTACCTTTGACTGTACCAATGATGACAATAAGCAGATAGGCCTGGGGATAGAGTTTTGCAGTGTGTGTGACTCCATGGTAGACCTTGTGGGCACGCTGAGTTTCTTTCAATGTGCCAATACACAGTTTGAAAGGCAGGAACTTTACCAATTTATAGACAATATCAAACGGAGAGTAGAATATCAGGTACCTGAAAGAGATTCAAACAAAATCTTCAGAAATTTACATTCATTGCAAAATCTTCAAGTTCTAACACTGAACAAGTCAATAATTCTCAGAATTCCTTAAGTAATAAAAAATTATTTTTTATATTTCACATGAATTTTGATGTACTAATTTGGAAGAAGGGTTTTGTTAGTCTCAGGTATTTTTTGTTCATTAGTAAATTGGATACACCCCAAAACCATTTGTGGTGGGTTTCCATTTTGAGAGATGTCTACCATAAAAGATTTGCTTTTGAAAGAAATTTTAAAATATTTTCCATCACCACAATTTTAGCTTTTATTTCACTTATGAAGTTATTTATTCCTATACAAGTTGATAAAATGTGATTATCATCAACAATCCTGCTTGCTGGCCAAGATATTTGCATATTCTCAACTGATAAAAAAGTCAGTACCTGAACCCAGGTAAAATACAAGGTTTTCAAGCATGCAGCCCCTTTTTATATCTTTCTACTCTACATTTTTTAGAATTTATAAGATGGGCAAGGCATGCTGAAAATTTCTCTACCCAACCCACTTTTCTTTTTGGCCAGGCCAATAACTTTTCAGCGCCCTTTGTATGTGTCTAAATAAAATAGTAGATTCAGCTGTTTGTAAGATGACAAGGGAGGAGAAGGAGTGTCCCACAAAACACAAGATGTCAAAATGAAAAGCTGAATGTTTGGCAGCTGCCTTTTCCTTCTGTTTGTTATTTATAGCATCTGCTGTAAAGACAGATCTCTTTACATTCCAGGATTTGGTTAGAGACAAATTAGCAACAAGATGGGCACAATGAAACAAGAGATTTCACAAAGTTGGTCCTTTGCCGCTTGCCACTTATATAGAACACGCACACGCATAAGACTGTTTCTCACACAAAGCAAGATGAAATGTATCTTTACCCAGGTAGGCATGCATGGTAGACTCTGAGATTGCAGAATTCATTTTAGATTAACTTTACTTGGTTTTTCACAAATAGATATTTCTTGTATATTATTTACTGACAAGATTTTTTTTTTATATTACAGATAAGCACATCAGTTTTGGATAAAAGGTTGGCACTACTGACCTCTGCCTAAAATTAGTGTAATATTTGTGGCTTCCATAAAAGGGCTAGAAATGTAAGGAAAAAAAACAAAAAAGTAATACATTTATTTTTATATACACAAATGTGTTACATTTTATATAAATGGATGTATTTCATGTATCTATATATATATATATTGTTATAATAATTTTACTTTTGAGAAAAAAAAGTGCCAGTGATGAGTGAGGAAGGGTTAGCTTATTGCAACAACAAAATAAAAAAACCTGTAAAGTCCAAATGACAAAGAGAAAAGTTGATAATATATCAGAAATTTATATTTCTTTATAGATTATAAATAAATATTCTTTCATTTTTTATTTACAGGAAAGGGACAATGATTGTTTGAAGACATAGTAAAGTAAAAGAATTTGGGATTTAGGATAAAGTACTTTTATCTGTAATCTAAAAAAAAAAAAAAAATAATAATAATCTTTAAGTCATTTTGCTGTTTCATTGTTTATATTATCTGTGAAGATGATGAGATTAAGTAGAAAATATTTATCAAAGACATGTTTTGCCACCAGAGAAGATATGTGTTCTTTTTGGCGTCTTCAGTTTGATAATGAAAGACAAAAATATTGTGAGGAAAAAAATGCCTTGGGATCTTGGAGGACAAACAGACATCATAGATCAAATTTATTGTCCCAGCTTATCATCTTATGATTTAGGATTGAAGAGAATCTATCAGTTAGGCTTGTTTGTTTTGTCTGTATCTGTATTAGAGATGTTTGGTATTGTTGGATTTTACATCAGGAACTTTATTATTTTTTGGGCTTTTAATATATATATATATATTGTTATGATGTTGATTTGGGGTTAGTAGAGACAAACGCCAAATAACACGTAACAATAAAAAGGGTTTTAATAGGATGGTAAAAAGGTACAGAAATCGCCTGAGTAGTCAATAACTAGCTCAGCTAAGAACTTCTCTGTCTATCTGTCTTCCCCCATGTCAACTAACATGCTACTATTTTAAAGTCTTTGTTCACAGACGCTGCAACAAGTTCATCTTCAAGAGGGGTGGTAGGTTTCTGACAACATATATATATATATATATATATATATATATATATATATATATATATATATATATTATAGGGTCATAGGGGGCCCCATGTGTATTGCAGCCACAGTAGAAGTGATATTTCTTGGGCAAGATAGCCTAACAGAGCCCAAGCCTCTCCAGGCCAGTTTTGAATTCAGAGTTTTCCTTCTCCTAGACCAGTTGCCACCCAAGGTTATAGGACCCAGTCTATCCTGCTATTTACCCATAGCTGAGAGGAGAAGAACCTTTCCCAAGAGTATTAGCATGTAAGTGATTGTAGTGGATCCAACTGGAATTCAAACTCGGTTCTCCAATTTCTCAATCTGAGCCGCTATCCATTACTCCACTGTGCCTCCCTTTATGTTTCTTGTGGTCATATATATATATATATATATATACACACACTCACACAAAAACACACATATATGTGTACATATACATCCACCCAGGTGTATACATGTATTAAGGCTTTTATGCCATACTTGTATATCATCTGTATAAATAATCTAGATTTTTTCTACACAATTATTGTTGCATGCAAGAAAGAATCTGCCTTTTAAATCATTAAAAGTTAAAAATATATCTAAATAAAAGCTAACATAAAACAAAAGAAAAAAAACAAAAGAAAAAAAACGAAACAATGTACTAGTAATCTTATCTTCTCCAATTTACTAATGCAGTACTAATATATAACATCACAATATTTCATAACTATAAAGAGGAGTCAAGTTGTGTGACCAATAAAAAAAAATAATTTATATGTTTCATTGTATATTATGCTATGTAATAAATTTCATAATCTTACATATTAATATATGGCAGACATATAAATATAAGTGTGTAGGAGAGAAAGTAACAGGTAAGAATATTTCAGATTCATATCATGCACTGTAATCAGAGAGAATATCTAAGATGATGTGCTCTTGGATTTGAAAGAGCAGGGCACTAGTTTTAGAAATTAACATCCATTAGTCAGATATTTCTGCACTTATTTACCACCTTCGATCCACAGGTAAATAAATGAACAGACACATGAATGCCTTTTCAATTGCACACAGACTGTAGATATTTGCAATATGAATGCTAAAAGTCACACAAATGTATTGGATATTCTTTGAGAAAGAAATGTATTAATAGAAACGAAAACACACCCAATCTTTTCTCACTACAACCTGAATATGCACCTGAGCTAACATATGTGGGGGTACCATTATTTTTATGTAAATTTTAGCAGATTCGGTCTTCCCAATCGTAGTAGAATCATCAGATTTTGTTAGTCCAGACAAGAGATGATCATTGTCTTTAATATTTATTTTGAAGTACAATTGATATGAGCAGCATTTTTATATCAGACTGGTATCTTTACTGGTAAGGTTAGAAACTCACAGCCAGGCTTCAACCAATATAAAAAACACAGCTAATATTTAGCGCTAAACAATTCTCTACATTTCAAGTCCTGCCCAGCATAAATATTCTCAGAAACTGTGTGAACCTCTCAAAATAACAGATTAGACATTAGGAGATTGATGGCATGGATAAAATGGAATTTATAAAAAGATTAGCAATAAGATGGAAATCATTTTGATTGATTATTGTTGAGTTTTTTAATGAAATAGTTGATATTCTTTCCAGTAAATCCAATCCTTGTGTAAAGAGAAAATATTGGTTCAAATCTAGACACAAATGTCAATCAAAACAAACTTCATGTTTTTTGTTGTTGCCTTGAGATTTATATATATATATTATTTATTCAAAAAATTATAACATAAATATGTTATAAAATCACTACAAAAATAGCCATTTTGTTTCAACACTACTGGTGTCTTATCAAGTGATGGTGTTGAATGTAGAATAAAGGGTTTTAAAAGGTTCAAATCAATCAAACATCCCTTGCTAGGGGAAACGCTGTTACATAAGGTGGAATGACCAATCAAAATACAAGTATATGAGAATTCAAAAAACTTGACAACGAACTAAGGTTATAATAATTATTTAATGCTTTAATGTTGGGGTTAGACTAAAATAGTATTTATTCTAACTAATAAATATTAAATTATACAATAAAATTTGAAATAAAAAATTACCCATTTTAAAATTTAAATTTAATCTATATTAAGTCTAAAATTATAAAATTACTGAGGAAAAAAGAAAAAAAATACATATGTTATTCTATTTATTTTGTCTTTATTGAAATTAAGTTGGAATAAACGTTAAGATCAAATGTTGCTCTGAACTTCATGACACCATAGATACATTTGAAGCATAAACAGAGGCAGGGGAAGTGATTTTATAACATATTTATGTTAGAATTTTTGAATAAATAATTATATTTGCTCTACTCTGTATTGAGCACTCTTTTAAGAATAGTATTTGTTGGTTATTGGAATTTATTCCGTATGCACCAATCCTATACTTGAGTATATATAATAAAAAGGCTTAAACACTAATATTCCATGGTCATAATTTATTCCATTGGAATCGTAAATACGATCCAAATCATCAGACCTACAAATTCAAAATGAAAACTTCATTTTGAATTTGTAGGTCTGATGATTTGGATCATATTTACGATTCCAATGGAATAAATTATGACCATGGAATATTAGTGTTTAAGCCTTTTATTATATCCTTACTCTGTCCTAGACATTGAGTTCTACCTGGATTCTTCCTCTTGGAAAATTTTTTCTGAAAATATACATGTATGGGTATTTTTATATATTTTTTTATATATATATTTTGCATATGTATGTATATTTTCCACAATATATATATATATATATATATATATATATATATATATATATATATATATATACGTATATGCACAACATCAAAGCAATTGGAAGGTGAATAAA